TGAAAAATGTGCTGCTGCTGCTAAGTCACTTCAGTCGTGTCCAACTCTGTGTGACCCCATCCCTGGGATTCTCCAGGCAAGAACACTGGAGTGGGTTGCCATTTCCTTCTCCAATGCATAAAAGTGAAAAGTGAAAGTGAAGTCGCTCAGTCATGTCCGACTCTTCGAGACCCCATGGACTGCAGCCTACCAGGCTCCTCCGTCCATGGGATTTTCCAGGCAAGAGTACTGGAGTAGGGTGCCATTGCCTTCTCCGGAAAAATGTGTTATGATTATGTAAAAAGGAAGAGGAAGCAGGTGAAGGGTATATGGGAACTTTCTATATTATTTTTGCAACTTTTCTGTAACTATAAAAATACTGCAATAAAAAGTTAAAAATAATTATTTATGACATATATAAGGACAAGGCCTTAGCATGGGATTCTGCATTAATAGTTCTTAAGCCTTAAATAGCAATTACTTGGTGCCAAACACTGTTCCCAGTGTTTTACATACATTAACTCAGATATTCTTACGTTAACTCAGACATTCTTACAATGCTATGAAGTGCTATAGTCATCCCCATTTTACAGGTGTGAAGACTGAGGTGCAGTTAGGAAATGCGTCCAAGGTCAGAAATCTAAGCAACTTGGCTCTAGCTAGAATCAATACTCTTATCCTTCTGCCTTACTATTTTAAGAGGTAACTGTTTTAAACACACCTTTTAAACTAGACTGCTCTCATCATTCTGGAAAGATTCTACAATAAAATGAGAGGCATAAATAAAAAACCTAAATAAGCTTTCTAAAACAGGCTATAAGCACATCAAAAATACTCAAAGTCAAAACGTAGTTCTCTTTCAGCAAAATAAAACTATTACCATAAATTGTGAAAGCTAACAAAGATGGTAAGAAATGTCACCTTTGTACTTTAAAACAGTCCAACAGAATATAAAATGTAAATGGTTAACAGCAATGACAAACTAAGGATAAGTAGATAACAAATGGATTTATCACCTATGACAAAATGTAATTTCAAAGTTTTCTACAACTTGGTGATTCTTCACCAATGTCAAATACACATGATGATGCAAGATGCAAGATGACAATATAAAACACTAAAATAACACAAACCAAAGAAGCTTCACAGCAGTCATAACCAAAAAACTTGGTTCAATCAAAATTAGTTAATCAAACTTTGGTTAAATGCCAAAGCAAACATTTTGTCAACGGATTTCAAAATACATTAGGTAAAAGGTCGACTATTTGGCATATTACTACTACTCTTTGGGATTCCCCAGGTGGTGCTAGTGGTAATGAATCTGCCTGCCAATGCACAAGATGTAAGAGACTTGGGTTCGATTCCTAGGTTTGGAAAGATCCTCTGGAGGAGGGCATGGCAACCCACTCCAGTATTCTTGCCTGGAGAATCCCCATGGACAGAGAAGCCTGGTGGGTTACAGTTTATAGGGTCGGTAACGACTGAAGGGACTTAGCATGCACACAGGCACTACTATTAATCAACATACTTAAATAGCCTGAACTCTAAAATGTAAAACCCACGTGCTCTTCCATTCATACCCATCCATTCAAAACAACTTCCTGAGTTACTGCTTTGATCCCAAGGTGTTCCAGACACTGAGGTTACATTAGTGAACAAGACACAAAATCCTTCCCTTACACATTTTATATTAATTCATTCATTCATTTGTCCATTCATTCAATAAGTATTTACTGAGTGCCTACAACATGCCATGAACGATTCTAAGTTCAGGGTGTAAGGAAGGGAAGAAAACATACAAAAAAACCTTGTGCTACTGGAGGTGACATTTTTGAAGAATAAACATAATCAACAAGTGAATAAGAAAACACAACTAAGTTAATGATCAATGCTAGGAAGAAAATAAAGCAGGAAGAAAAGGACTTAAATTGAGAGTAAAATTGTAAATAGAAGAGCAAAGGGAGATGAGATGAAGTAGGTAAGACAAATAAATGATATGTTATACAAATTAATGATAAAATATGATTTTATCATATTTAGGGGCTTCCCTGGTGGCTCAGAGGGTAAAGCATCTGCCTGCAATGCAGGAGACCAGGGTTCGATCCCTGGGTCAGGAAGATCTCCTGGAGAAGGAAATGGCAACCCACTCCGGTATTCTTGTCTGGAAAATCCCATGGATGGAGGAGCCTGGTAGGCTACAGTCCATGGAGTTGCAAAGAGTCAGACACAAACTGAGCGACTTCACTATTTGTATAAATGATAAAATATGATATGTTAGGTGTAAATGCTATGAAGAAATGAAAACTCCTCACTCCAAGAGTGAGGAGGGGGTAGAGGCAAAGGGAAAGAGGGATTGAGAAAGGTGTTTTGAAGAGGCAGCCTTTGAGTACAAAAGACAGAAGGAAGTAAGAGGCTGAGTCATATGGAGACCCAGGAGAAGGGCACCCCACACAGGGGCACAATGACCTTGAAAAGCCCAGAGGAGGGAGCAGGCCTCACAAGTTCAGGAGACAGCCAGTGCAGAAGAGTGAACTGCCACTCCGTGTTTGGGAGCCATACATTTAGAGCTCAGTGACTGGTTTCCAATCAACTCAAGGGATAATTAAAGAGTCATTACTACTTGCAAAATACAAGTTGGGGGGCTGAAGGGACGATAAAGCAGGATGAAATACAGGCTCTGCCACTGAGCAATGTGTAAGGTCAAAGACAAACAAGGCATGCACACAGAAAGTTCTACCACTGTTCAGGGCAGTAAACAAGAAAGTGGCAAGATCATTTCATGAGTTGGCAAAAATTGTTAACTGAGAAGAAAGCAAAAAAGGCTACAGATTTTGAGTCTTTTCAAACCATCTCATCCTCGGTTTGAAAGCATGATGCTGTAAGCAGAACAGAAGTTCCTTGTGGGTAAAGCATATGTGATGACTCCTGCTGAAGAGGAACTGTGTTCAGTCATTTCAAAACCCCAACTACAGCCCCAGGCAAGTGGAAGGGGCTCAGTCAACATTCCAACAATCAGACACTTTGTGTCCACCTGACCCAATGCTTCCAAGTGATTTGAAAAGGTATTGAATACTAAGTTCTCAAAGAATGTATTTCCTCAAAAGGGAAATAAGTCTCAGGATTGCATTTTATGGATCTACATGTCCATTAGCTCAGCTGGTAAAGAATCTGCCTGCAATGCAGGAGACCAGGGTTCCATCCCTGGGTTGGGAAGATCCCCTGGAGAAGGAAATGGCAACCCATTCCAGTATCCTTACCTGGAGAATCCCAAGGACAGAGGAGCCTAGCAGGCTCCAGTCCATGGGTTCGCAAGAGTCGGACACAACTCAGTGACTAAACTATCACCACATGTCCATTAGACTAAAACTTGAACTAGGATTAAAGAGTGCAAGCTTCAGCTATGGGCTAAAATAGCAATTGAATCTTTAAGGCATTGGGAGTCTTGGTGAAACTTGCAACCCCTCCAGGACATCCTTTAATCTTTTCTGTAAATGGGCATAAAATGGACTAATTTATCCAGTTAGCAAACAACTTTAGAGAACCCACTACACAAACACCTAGACCCTGGAAACTGAAAACTCAGGAAGACACGGCCTCTGCCTTAGAAACTGTGAGTTTAAGGCTGGATGTTTATTAAAGAAGAGAACAGGGGGGAGAAAAGCAGTAATAAAAATGACTGGTTATAACAAAACATAAAAAGTGCTACACTATAAGAATGGACAAAAGCATTATGAGAATATAGAGAAAGGACTAATTAATGAAACCTCACAGAAGAAGCTATGCCTCAAACATAATTGTAATTTTGCTTTGTAGTCATATAAAATTGTAAGGAGACAGAGACATTACTATTAAAACCTATTGTTCTTTCTCCTTCTAACTATAGCAAAAATATACTCAACGTGAAAAGACTTTCCTGAGAAACAAAGATTAACAACAAAAAAAAATCTTTATTTTCTCATTATGTTTAAAATGAACTTAAGGACTCAAGAAATCAGTCTTTACAAAGTTTGTCTAAGCAACACATCCCAAAGAAAGATTCAAAATAATATCTAATTATTCTCTGCTGCAATGATATACCTAAGCTATTTATTACAATTTAAATCAGTTATGGCAGGAACTACAGGGCATTCAAAAACAATACATAACACTGGGCATTGTAAAACTATCCTGTAAACCAATTCTGAAATTTTAGGTTAAAATCAAATGTTTATCTAAACAGTCATCAGAAGACAATGCCAAAAAATGCATTCAAATCTAAGAAGAAATTACCTTTTGAAAAAACTTTAAGACAATGACCCACTCTCTATACTAACAATTTGCAGTAGAAAAAAGTCATTACCATTCAGATTAGATCTATTTTGCAAAGAGGCAGAAAATAAATTAATTAGATTCTGAAATATTTATAAATACATATTTATAAAATGCATTTACTTATCACCATTCAGATGTAAAAGAAACTGTTTGAAAATAAATAGTGCATCCCAAGGTTTTCCTTTTTGTTCACTTCTATCATAATAAAGAATTACATTTTTAGTACTAATAGAAACACAAAATAGGGAGTTTATAACTTCTATTTTTAGAGCTTACTGACCTAACTCTAACATAGATTCAAATTCTGGCTGCACTTAAGCAGGACCACCAGAACATTCCTGAGTCCCCTGGACCTACTAAATGTTGTTAGAACTACATTTAAACTTCTAAAAGATACAACTAATTCAAACAGATACTGTTATCCTAAAAACTGCTCTCAATCATAAAACAGTACATACTGAGTATACAGCAATAAAACCATGAATCTTTCTTTTTTTTCAGTAGCAGGAGACTTTCAAGGAGAAAAAAAGAAACTAATGTTAATGTTCCTTAAGTTAAAGTGGTCTTGTTACGCTGACACATTTGTATCACTTTAAAATAATTTAGAAATAATTTTATAATCAGAAAAAAGTTTTAGATTAGAATTTTTTAAAGATATTTAGCATAAAACAAAAATTCTTATTTAAAAATAAAGTGAACACAGTACATACCAAGCTTCAGGCAGCAAAGCAGAATATTGGTGTGGCGATGTGGTCTCTGGGAAGTTGGAGAGAATCGCCAGGCGGTGAGGGAGCAGGTCAGACCCATGGTAAGTGAACAGAATTTCCAGGGCCTGCACATTACTCTCCTGTAAAGAAGGCAAGGGTACACTTCTAATGTGAACCTTAGAATAAAGAAGTGATCTTGTATGACAACATCAAAACCTTACAATTAGCTTTTTTTAATGCAGTTCTGATATGAAGTGGTTTGAAATATTCCTGGTTTTTTCAGGTCTGTATCATATTTCTCAATCTAGTGCTCTAAAATTTATTTTTAGAAGTCTTGAATGATGAAAAAAATATTTTTAATATGATTCTATTTTCTCTACATTTGTTACTATTACAATTTTTAAAAAAAGGAAATGTAATGATATGCGCACGCAGTAACATTAGCAGCATGGCTCAAAGACCTGAAAGTGTTAATAACTATAATTGTTTCACTCACAAACAAGAAATTACCCGAGCATAAGTTCTTGCTGAGAGAACAATATTCTGACTTCTGAACTTCTTAAAGAATTCAGCATCGTATCTCTGTCCAGATGCATGAGGTACTCCGAGGATTTCCTGAGGGGAAGCCATGATTTTATGAAAAGGCTTTTAAACATGGGTGACAAGACTATGTTAAAAACCATTACAGTTCTGCTTACCTAAATAAATAAGGCCTGAATAAAACTCTCAACTGCTAACTAAAGTACTACATCTGCATTCTTTCTTTTATTTGGAAAATGGCTATATTTATAAATGCTGTTATTTTTTTTTTAATCCAGAAGTAAATGAAATAGGCTATGAAATCAATTACAGTAGGACAACCCAAATCCACCACCTGGTAAAAACAAGGAAGCAAGAGTTACACACGGCTGTGTACCATGAGCACCTGCTACATCTACTGCTGCTGGAGTGATCCATGTGAATTGCAGATGACACTATTCATTCTTTAATCAGATAGTTATTAGGTGTCAATTATGTGCTAGGGGCACTGTGATAGACACTGCTGATAACATGAACAGTACACCCTCCCTGCTCTCCAAGGAACTCAAAAAATCTAGTTGGCGAGACAAACGGGCAACAGGAACAGGTAACGCGCAACACATAGGAAGGGTGTTAACACACAGGAAGGCCTCCCCAGGCGCAGCGAAGCTGAAACACAGAGGACAGATGGGAGTCAGCCACAGCAGCAGCGACTGTAGGTCTCCCCACTGCAGTGGGTGACTTCAGGCTCCTGTCGCTCACACTAACGCTAAACCCCAGACACCAGCCTTCAGTGCAGAAGACCCAGTTTTGATCCCTGGGTTGGGAAGATCCCCTGGAGAAGGGAATGGCAACCCACTCCAGCATTCTTGCCTGGAGAATTCCGTGGGCAGAGGAGCCTGGTGCTACAACCCATGGGGTCAGAAAGAGTTGGGACACTACTGAGAAACTAACACTTTCACTTTCACTTTTCCAGATACCTAGCATGCTGCCTTTCAGAAAATAAATAACCAATAATATTTGTTAACTGCATTAACCTACTGAGATAGGAAAGAGGGAAGAAAAAGGATGCTCACAGGAGGCTCTTGCTTCCTATTGATTTAGACAAAATACTTACCTTCTTAAAGCCTCACATCCATAAACTTGAGAGGATACATCACCTTCCTCAAAGGGTTGTCAAGAAATGACCTGAATTAAGTACATAAGACACTGGCTAACAAACAGAAGTCCTCAACAAATCTGTTGGTATTTCTAAGGTATTCTCGTACCTACTGGTTTCCTCAATAAATCTTTCCTCCTAATCTCCTCAACAAGCCAGGTCTCTTTCTGAGCGCTGGGGGATACTGCAGCAAACAAAACAAGCCCACTACCTTATGGAGCATCCATGCTCGCGTCTCCTACGTGGTAGTCCTATACCCCCTAAGCCGCCCTTCCTTTTTTTAAGGAGCAGTTGGATACCATTTCCTACGTAAGAATATTCTCGGACATCCCCAGGAAAAATTTAATGTTTTCCTCCATTATGCTCCATCAATTCTTCATATCTTCATTATCATCACTTACTGCCCATATAATGAGGACTCCACAAGGATTATCCCCTGTTCATCTCTCTACCTCCAGCACTGGCATGACATCTGGTGTAAAACAGGCATTCATATAAAATTTAAATGAATCCATTTTAATCTCATTTATCACAGTAGTAAAATAAGCCACGCCTTGTGATTAAAATGCAATGCCTATCTCTACCATGATCTAACTGGTTAACTGTTATATTAGAGTATCTTCATTTCTAAGTTTTAATGGCCAAATTCATCAACTTCACCTACTTTTAAAAATCTTCGCTTAATTTTCTTTTTGTGGGCTCAACAAATACTTTAAATGTCACTATTACCATGTAATAATAAATGTACTTACTACTGTCAAATAGGAAATAGCAATTTAATAACTAAAGAATAAAAACAGAAAATTAACTGGATAATGAAACTCTGAACATTTTATGGAACTTTTTTAAGATCTCATCAGTGAAACTAAGTATAAAAAATAATAAACTATAGCTATATCAGCATTAGTAATTTTATATATTACCTCTAAATATCATAAAACTCAGACATAATAGAGCATTATGCTTTAAAATAGTATGACCAGCCAATAGTCAAGCTAGTTGTACTACAGATAAAACTATTAGAAATGTTTTGTAACTTGTTTGTATGAAATGATATAAAATTACCATGCTTTCTAAAAGCCATAGAAATAGTTCTCTTGTCACTAGTATTTTGTTTGAAAATATTTGTTATATTTACTGGTGGAGAATCAAATGCTTTTCTTTGCCTACAGGCATCAGGAGTACTAAATATCTCCACTGTTCTGGGACCATGTATCACATTACTACACACGACATGTACTGAGTTCCTATTATGTGCCATACCAGGAGTTAAGGTATGCCCCTAAAAGGGGGGTTCATACAGATGGAGGAAGCAACCTACAAATGAAGTCAAAATTCAAAGGTGAGAAAGTATAAGTGAAAGTGTTAACTGTTAAGTCCTGTCGACCCTTTTTCGACCCCTATAGACTATAGCCCACCAAGCTCCTCTGTCCATGGAATTCCCCAGCTAAGAACACTGGAGTAAGTAGCCACTCCCTTCTCCAGGAGATCTTCCCAACCCAGGGATCGAACTTGGGTCTCCTGCATCGCAGGTCAACTCTTTACCATCTGAGTCACCAGGGAAGCCCTTCAAAAGTTGAGAAATATATACTAAATCCTGGGTAACTTGAACTTGAGGGTCATATGAAAAGCAATCTAAGCTATGTATATTTTAAGAAATGCCTCTCACACCTTTAACAAATCTGACAGGACAGGGCACTACTGAAATGTCCAACATGGGACATTTGTGTTTGTTGCCCTGAGGTAACAATTTTCAAGTTTGCTCTAAGTTCAAGTGTCTAATTTTGGCCATCATTAGGATCAAAGTTTAGCCAACAAAATTCAAGACATTAATAAATCATTAAAATAAAGCAAGTCAGAATATTCATATTAGGATTATTAAACCCCAGTGGATACTGAATTTGCTACTATAGACAGCTATCTACCATAACCAAAGTTTAAATGTAAAATAAAAGTAAATGAAAAGGATTATAAATCTAGGAAACACAGATGCTGAGATAATGCAAACATTTCTACTCCCTAGACTAACAAAGCAACTTCTGGCTTCTCACGAATCCCTAATTTTTAGCAAAAATGATATACAAGAGAACGTGCTTCTGTGCAAATTTTTCCCACATAAATAGTTCTAAAGACCAAGAATATCCCACAGGAAGGCAGTCACAGCATGTGTAATGACAGATTGAATGAACATAATTGCTTTGATTAAAGCTACTCCTTACCTCGTATGTTGCAAGCCGATCTAAGTAGGTTAATAATTTCAGTCTACAACGGCAAAGTTCCTTTTGTTCCAGCGTTAACCTGTTTTGAAAAACTACATTAGGCCACTTATATTTACCTGGAAGCACATTTCTCTAAGATCTAAAATAGAATAAAAATGATCAATATTCCATTAAGCCCCAAACTCATGGGACAACACACAAAAGCACAAGGGTACAATACTACTAAATGCACTTGACTTGAGTTGCTGAAATAATGTAGAGCAATTATCACTAGTAAGGAACACACTCAGACCACTATTTTAGAGAAATTACCAAATGAACAGTAATATATCATTTACTTTGAAAAGTTCACTAATTTAAGTAGTTCTCGTCTCTTTTTGAGCTCCTTCTCCTGTTTCTTCTCGGCAGGGTCTTCTTCAGGTGGGGAAAGCTCCTCATAGGAAATATTGTCAATGTCCATCTCACCAGGGAGTATAAATCTATGACAGAAAAAAAAGAAAACTCGAATTTCTTTGGAGTGTGTTTTCTTTATACACACACACACACACACACACACACACACACATATATATATAAGTATATATTTCATTAGTGAAGAAGTACTTTTCCCTACTTTGATTTTATTAAGTTGGTTTCTGCAGAAACAGAAACAACCAACCCTTTAAAAGAAAGCTTTGGCTATATGTTATAACCAAAGCGATTCTCTCATTTATATCCATGGGGTGGGCAAGAAGTCATCAGTAATCATCACATGTAGAAACTCTGAATACCAACAAAATGAAAGCTGCTTAGGAAAACATGGGAGGTTACAGTGATGCAATGTGAAACAGCCTATGAAGAAAATGTTGCCCAGAATTTATAATGTGAATCACTTCTATTCAAGGTCTTAAAATGGTATTAAAGGTTGGTTTCATTTAAACTACTTATCAAACACACCATCACATTTATATACCATGGATATAATGTTCCAAATGTCTGATGAACAGCAGCCTCTGTCAAATAACTTTATTATTGTTATCAACTGATGTTTGTATGGTGCTTAAAAGTTTATGAGGTGGTTTCACAAGATAAATAATTTAATCAAGATAATGCTCTGAGGAAGGATACAATGATACAGATAAAGAAAGTGAATGAAACTCAGGCCTGCCTGTGGTGGTTCATTTGACCAGTAAGCACACTCAGGTATGCATCACCTTAAACCCACAGCTTAGACGCTGCCAGCATTCAATAAATGTTTGTAGAATTTGCTCTTTTCTTAGCATCAAGCTATCATATGTAAACATATTTCACTCAGAAGAAAGAAAACTGTGACCTCAGATTAAAAAAAGCATTAGTCAAATCAACTGCTCCATTGCAGAGTAACCTAAATAAAGAAAAGTTGACCCTTTCCAATGTCTCAGTTTAAAAAGTTTTCACAAAGTCACCTTCACTTTTGAATCCAAATCCTTCTGTAACCAACCTGCCATCATCTGCTCCTTTCCCTATGGCTAAAAGAGCCTCCAGGTCTGTGCCTTTTAATCCATATTGAAGCAGTTCCTTGGCGGCATCTACATTTTCAGGAACTCTTTCCAAACACTCATGAAGAACCCAGGATCGTTTCTTTATTTTACTCTGGATACAGAGAAACCAAAAAATAGAGGCATTAAAGAACCCATGACATCTGATAGCACCTGAGAACTGCCTTCCAGAATCACAGCTAGCTACCCAAGAGCTTGGCCACAGGCAGCTGCTGGAACACCTCACCATTAAAAAGCTTTTTTCCTAACGGTGATTAGGACTGAATGTAGGGAATATGATTCCACCTGCTTTCCTTCTTCTAATGAAACACAATGAAACACAAAACTCAGATGACTTTTTCTTGGAAACACAGATCTTTTCAAATTTTTTAGTTGTTCTTTAGTTTGCATTTGGGCTGTATGAAAGAACAGAAAATAAAAATGTAAGGCAAGATTTATCTTACTATGACAAAGATGTCTAACCTTGAAATAAAACTAAGGTTTTGTTTAGTACATCAAGGTTCTGTATTTACTTGGCCATGAGCTGTACCCCAAAGCACAGACAAGGATTCAACCATGAAAAATCATGCCATGCTGTTCTCTGGGAAGACTAAGGGGCCGTTCTTCCCTCCCAACAGCTTTCTCTGACTCCACTCGAAATCCCTGACTTGCCCTCTTCCTAGAGTCTCTGTGGATACAAATTTCGAGTAAAATCTGGCTCATACCCTATATGTTCCTTTACACATTCCCTCATATCACTTCTTTCCTCAGCTGCCTCTGAATTCACATCTCCCTCTCCACATCTGAGGCCTCCATACCAGTGCATGTCATCGACACATAACAGCTTGGCAAGGTTTCCCACTTGAACCCAAATTAATATATCTGCCTAATCATATACCCCAGTGTTCACTATCATGCAATACCACATCCAACAGACTGGTTTACTTACAGAGGCCATTTATTCATCCAAGAAATATTTACTGAGTACCGTCTGTGTGCCATGAAAATATAGCAATGAATAAAACAGATTAGGCCTCCTGAGTCAAGCTCATTTTTCTTTAATTTGCTCATACCACTGGTCCCATTAACAATGCCTTCATCTCTTCTAACTCTACTTTGAATCCTTTCCAATCCCTGCCCCAAACATCTTCCTATATAAAGACTTCCATAGTAAAGTTTAAAATGATTGCTATCTTCACTAGGTGCCCATAGCATTTTTCTGCAATCTCTTGTATGGTCAAAGTAAGTTACAGATGAAGCTTGTCTTCTCAATAAGATTAAAAGCTCCCTAAAAGCAAGACCGTATTTATGCCACTCCTGTACCCCTTCACCATTTCTGGCATAGTGCTTCTACTCTTCACTGACTATTTATTTTTCTGAATTAAGCATTTCCCCCAATTAAAAAAAAAGTACATGATTTGTCTCTCCAAACATCTGTCAGCTCCATCAGAGACCAAAACCGCCCTTTACTGTGTTACAGAAAAGGCCATTAAGTGAATATACATGAACTCATGAGCTCACTGTCCTGAGTCACAAAAGAAAAAAGATAAAACAGGTTTGGTATTCTGATACTCTAAAGAAAACACAAGCAACTTTGTCTTCTCCTTTTATTATCCTTCATACTCTTATCTCTGATATCTTATTTGTATTAACAGTTTATCTTCCTGTTTGGCTTAAAGCATCAACTTGTTACATACAACTTTTTCAGATTGTTGTTATTTTTTATTACTCATGTACATGAATTTTTAGGGAAAACAATTACCATGAAAATTTCCCAACATTTCTTAGAATATTTCTAAATGTAAACATATTTTCCTTTCTAAATGAGAACTCACAATCTGCTAAAAACAGGTATGAGTTCAACTACTTCTTACAAAGGGACCAAGGATCCAAATTAACAGGCTGCATAGTAACTGTAACTGTGGTAACGCGGTAGTAAGGAGAATACAGTTGGAGAATTGAAGCAAAAAGGGGGTACTGACAAGACTGATATGTCACTTATCTATTTTTTGCCTCTCATCTTCAAAGGTACTCTTCAGAGCTAGCTGAGAGAGAGAAACAGCATGTCCTATTGAGGCCGACATGATACTAAGCTTTGTCAACAGAGGGCGCTGCAGGGGGCAGGCCCTGGAAAGGAAGAGCCTCTGGTCTCCAGTGCAGATGTGTGCAGGTTCCTCAGCGCCTGTGTCTGTGTAGCCAGCAGTGCTGTCAAAGGACCATCTCGTGATGCTTTCTGCCTGCTTCCTTCTTCAGAGGACAACGTCCCAGTTAGCGTCCACTGGACTGCCATGGACAGGCTCCTCGCCAGTGAACCTCCCAGACACCTGAACGGCAAGCTTCCTAAACTAGGCTTGCCTGCACTCCAGTGCGAATTTTTTTCTTTTCAGTCCTGGCTATGGTTCCTTATCTACCAGCCTTCTTACTAGGGGGGGCATTTCCTACTTACCAGTCTCCAGCGTTTTCTGACCACCACCTCCCCTCTGAGTTTCCTACCTCCTTGGAAACATTCCCTTCAGCCCCAGGTTATTCCTTCAAGTTCTCTTTGCTCTCATACACTTAATCTCTCATTACCAGAAAATAATTCTCTGTATTAAAACTGTCTCTCTTCAAATTCCTGTGTGGTTCCTGACTCTTGACAGGACCCTGACTCATGGCAGTGAACTGAGGTGACTAAGGTGGATGAAGGGAAAAGGCTTAGGCCAAGACCAGGTACTTGGCTGGTTTATCAGGGAATATTTGCTCACAGGTCTTTGGTACCAACAATCCAGCTGCAGAGCCAACAGAACCTGATAACAAGATAATTTTTCCAGGTTGAATAAAACGCTTCACAAAGAAAAGTCGTCAGTGAAAAGTACTCCAATATGAAGCCCTACAGTCATGAGATACTCCATTAGGTATGAACCTTACCTTCTCCAGGGGATCTTCCCAACCCAGGGATTAAACCCAGTTCTCCCACACTGCAGGCAGATTCTTTACCATCTAAGCCACCAGGGGAAGGACGATTACTCTTACTACATGTTATCAAACTATGCAGACATACCAAGTAATTCTGAATTGAAGCAATGTTGACCGCTGACTTCCTCCACTGCCTCTGGTACACCAGGTCAGTGTCCAGGCCGTAGGTCTGAGCCAGGGACAAGGCTTCCTCATACTCTTCACTTTCGATCTTTGGACAAGGAAATGGAACAGGAATGCGATGTTACCGAGCTGTCGCAGTGTCACTATGATGGCAGAATGAATGGCAATAGTGGAGGTCACACACTCCTAACCACCCCCACATGCCCTGCGGCACCAGAAAGCTCACAAACATGATGAGGGGCATAGAGATCAAGTATCTATTTAAGCGCTTTACCAGAAAAATGAGAAACAGAGGTCAACTGCCTGTGCTTACAGAGTGAAACAGCAAAGCCAGCACAAACAGGGCGGCAGCCCGAGTCCTTTGCCAGGACTCCGCCCCTGACGCTGCAGCACAGACATGTGGGGTACTCAGTGCTGATCGAATCTGCTTCCCAGGCAACCCCCCGACCAGAAATCCAGCCTGCAAGTTCTTCCCTCCCCCGCTGCAGCCTGAGCAGACAGCTGTCCTCGGCACAGAGGAGGTGAGAGCCAAAGGCCACACGAAGTGGAGTGAAAACCTGGGCGGAGCCGCCAAGGGGACAGGGGTCCAGGCGAGCTCACCTCCACCCACTGCTCCTCTGGGAGCGCTCAGGCACAAAGAGCAGCTTTTTCATACTGACGTTTGCAACACATCAATGATAAAACAATCCTGCTTTCAATTTCTTCCTTTATTAAAAAAATAATGTTTTTCTCAACACAATCAAAACTGAAGCTGTGAAATGCACAGTAACAGGACACCCTCACCTTCCTCTGGTAGAGCTCCTCGGGGGTCGTGGACCGCAGGCTCACCAGGCGGTAGTTTTTAGTAATGGTTCGCGGGCGTTTCCGGGGCGGTGCGAACCGCTCCATCTCCGTCACTAAGTACAGGCCCTGTTTGATATAGCCAAAGTAGCGAGTCTTGGCAGAGATTTCCTGGTCAGAATCCGAATCCTCTTCTCCTTCGTCATCTTCTCCTGCCCTCGTCTCCAAACGGGATCGTTTGGGGGCAAGTTTAATCTCACACTGAATTGAAAAAGGAGATGTTAAATGAACAGTGAGGAACTAAAGACAAGTTTTTAGAGCTAATGGAAAAAGCATTTTAATTCTACTCTGGTTTGATGTATTACATCAGCAGTAAAATTAAGACTAAGCATGAAATTCAAAGGAACCCAACAACAAACTCTACATACATCAACAACTCCAGAAATATGCACACAAGTCACTGGTTCCAAATCTCTAAAACTAAAGCTTGCTTTAATAATAGGTTATTAATATGGTCTGGGACAATATATGCTTGGTAATTATTTTAAGGAAGTAAAGGAATTGAGAATGTTAAATTCTTTTTTATATTTTTGTACCTGCTGTGAAAAGATGATTTGTTTCAATCCATTTAGCAAATGAACATGAAGGTATTTATTTGCTCTACCAAGAATGGCTACCCTTCTGCCCAACTTTTAAACAATGTCTGAAGCTTCACAAAGTTCTGAGGCTGAAGGCTGCCTGCTAAAGATAACTTTCATTCCAAACTTAACAGAGTTGACTTTGATTTTAAAACATGATTTTCTTTAAAGAACATCTTTAGACTGAGTACCAAATTTATGGGTAAAAGAGAATTGTCAAATTGCATTGAAGTGAAAACTATTGAAGGTCATTAACTTGGAAATAAAATAAGAATTTTAAATGACCAAAACATAACTTTAAAATACTACACTCATCTCAAATATTTTTGACATGATAAACAAGTGTTTTTTAACAGAAGAACCAAAAGTTTTAAGTTGCCATATTTCACAGAAATAGGTTAAGGACTATATTTCTTTGGTAGTAATATTCTTTATGTTTTTAAATAACTAATCTAAGGGAAAAAGTCTATCCTGTCCATTAGAGAAAAGTGCTTTATAGAAAACAAAAAGACTAAAAATGTTTTTCTTTCTTATACAAATGCAATTTTTTAAACTGACTAAACATTAGATTTTTTTATACTGCACTCAAGCTCTGATTCCAATAAGAAACTTTTGATTTTAACTGCAACATGAATGAATGTCAAAGACATTATACCAGGTAAAAGAATCTACACACAGAAGACTATACAGTGCTGATCTCATTTTTATGAATTACCCAGAAGAGATAAGAGAATATAGAGTAAGCACATCAGTGGTTGCATGGGACTGAGAGGGTGGGAGTGGAGATTATAAATAAGAAGGAAGGAAGTTTTTGGTGCAACAGAAATGTTCTAAAATTGGGTTGTGGTGACGGTTGCACAGTTCTTCCTATTTACTAAAAATAATTGAATTACATACTTAACAATGAATGAATTTTGTGGTATGTAAATTATGTCCCCAATGAAGCTGTGAAATTCTAATAATAATTCTTTTTTTGGAAATGTTAAAAAAGAAAAAAAGATAAGATTAAATAATAGGATAATCAAAATTAAAAATCAGACATTTAAATTCCTGGTGTAATACACAGTAGTAGTGAGTAGGGTTAGTCACTCAGTCATGTCTGACTCTTTGCAATCCCATAGACTATAGCCCGCCAGGCTCCTCTGTCCATGGGATTCTCCAGGCAAAAATACTGGAGTGGGTTGCCATGCCTTTCTCCAGAGGATCTTCCCAACTACTCTCAAACACACTCATTACTTTAAAAAGGAAGAGTTACCTCCAAACTTAAAAATCCCCCATCATGGGTAGCAGTGACTTGAGGCGACGGTTCAAACCATTCACATGACTTTCCCAGTAAATTCTTCAAAGTTTTCACTGATGAAACAGTCAAAGCACCATAAAAAGGAAGAGTTACCTCCAAACTTAAAAATCCCCCATCATGGGTAGCAGTGACTTGAGGCGACGGTTCAAACCATTCACATGACTTTCCCAGTAAATTCTTCAAAGTTTTCACTGATGAAACAGTCAAAGCACCAGAGCAGCGAGCCAAAATCACTGCGCTGTCCACCCACCAATTCACATCTATCAGCGGGTAAAAAGACTCCTTATCTAATGGGGGGAAAAGTAATGAACAGAAATGCATCCATCAATATGGGTTACATACAACACACTTAGTCCAATAACCAATTTTAAAAACATATTTGAGCCCTAAAGGTATGACAAATAATAAGAATAAAATATAAGTCATCACTCAGATTATGTCTCAAATTTAAGACTACTGTTTAGTCTCTAAGTCATGTCCAACCCTTTAGCGATCCCATGAACTGTAGCCCACCAGGCTCCTCTGTCCATGGGATTTTCCAGGCAAGAATACTGGTGTGGATACCATTTCCTCCTCTAGGGGAATCTTCCCAATCGAGGGATCGAACTCACATATCCTGCACTGCAGATTCTTTACCACTGAGCCACCTGGGAAGTCCAAGTATAAGATTCAAAGTGGTAATTTATTTAACAAAAATCTGAACGCCAGTGATCTGCCAAAGTCCAAAGTTCTAGGGATGAAGAGGTAAATATATTAAGGTCTTTCTGCTCAAAAATGAAAAATATTCAGAGATATGTCACCATTTTCAACACTTAAACAGAGGTATGAACTGATAAGTGGCAGGTTCAGGAAGGACACCGACCTCCCTCTGTGGCAGGTCTTAAGATCTTCATGTGGGAGGCAGCCTCACTACACCTAGAGGAGAGGTGCATCCTTGTCTCCAAAGACAGAGGGAGGAAAAACGGGCAGACAAGCCTGCCAAGTCTCTCCCCGCTGACTATCCTGAGCTCAGACCCTGTGTCCTGTCAAGGTTTTCCACAACTTTCCACTCTTCATCCAACCTAGAATAACACTGATAGGGTTTAACTTCCCCAGGTCTTCATCTCCTTGTGAAGGCGCCCATGTCCCTAAAACATGGTAAGTAAAGGTGCACGCTTTTTTTCTTATTAATCGGTTCTTTGTTAGTCCAATTTACTGGGTCTTAGTTGATTTCAGAATTTAGTAGGGTAGAAGGAAAAAGAATTTTTTTCTCCCCTACATTTGCAACTGGAGCTTCCCAGGTGGCACTAGTGGTGAAGAATCTGCCTGCCAATGCAGGCGACATAAGAGACGTGGGTTCAATCCCCGGGTCAGGAAGATCCCCTGAAGAAATACCCAGCAACCCACTCCAGTATTCATGCCTGGAAAATTCCATGGACAAAGGAGCCTGGTGGGCTATAGTCCATGGGGCCCACAAAGAGTCGGACACGACTGAGCACACACACCAGCAACTAATCAGAAAGAGGAAAATACATTCAAGACCAGTAAAGAAATGGGTGGGTGGGGGAAGAGAAAAATGAATTGTGGTTCACCAAACTGAGGCATTCAAAAGGAAATAGCATGATATTTATTCTAATTTTATTGCCCTTTTCATACCTTACTTGTTCCACTGACAATCTGATGAGGTTCAAAGGTAATACATAAAACAGCAAACCATAAACTTTAAAATATATGAGCAAAATAGGTTAGTGGAATTCCCTGGTGGCCCAGTGGTTAGGACCAGTGCCTTGGACCAGTGCCTTCACTGCCCTGGCCTGGGTTTGATCTCTGGTCGGGGAACAAAGATCCCAGAAGTCGTGAAGCACCACCAAGCAAAAAATAAAATAGGAAATTAACTCTATTAGAATAACCCATTATTTTAATTAAAAACAAAGACTATAATAACTCAACATCTTCTTCCTATTTAAGCCTAAAGCAATCTGTACAAATAAGGAAATCCAAGAAAACATCAAAATCAATGTTCCTCAGCTTATAGCTTAACGTAAAGGGAGGATGAAAAAGAGCAAATCATTTAAATATGTTGTCAACCTTCTGCTCTGACAAATTATTTTCTCAAAAATGTTTTTCTAGATGAGTATTTTGGATGATTATCTAACAAAAGTGAATATATGAACATGACAGATGATATAAATGAATCAGTACTTTTAATCTATTTAAATGTAATTAGAAGCATAATTTAATAAAGATTTTGAAGCCTGATAACTATGATTCATTTTATAGGAGACACTTAAAAATTCAGAAGTATTGAACTAGGGGAGTCTCACCAGAAAAAAAGAAAGAACTGATTAGTCAAAGTCTTAATTTTTAAATTTCTGTTTTCAGTTTTCATCTACCAATTAAATAATCACTACTGCTTCTAATTAACTGTAAATAATGCAGGTTTTATTTATTTATAAAAATAACACATGCTCATTACTAAAAAATAATAATAATTTAGACATGGGATATGTATGAAAAAAGAATCCCTCCAATCTCTCATTACTTACTACCTACCACATGCTCGGCCCAGGCCCAGAGATAACTGCTCAGTTTCCTCTTTGAGAAATCCCCTTCTGCAATCTCCTGCACACTCATTTACAAAGGACCACACGTATGACCTGTGAACTTGCCGTCTCCATGCTGGCTTGAGACAGGAGAGCCATACTGCCTGACACAGCTCTGACTCGGCCTTGGGAAAACTCGAAATATTAACAACTGACTAGCAGAAAGTTGGATCTGTTGCCTTGTCCTCATTCTACGAAATCTTAATGTTCCCTGCAAAGTGAAGAAGTATCTAGAGACTTTTATATGTAGGGTGGCAGAATATGCCACTTCAAAATATGCCACTTTGGCAGAAAGATTACTTAGGGCTGGAGCCAAGGAAGAAGCAGATACAAGGAAAGCTCTCTGTCCTCTATTTGCCTAAAAGTAGGACATAAACTTTGGTTTTCCTGGTGGTTCAGTGGTAAAGAATCCGCCTGCCAATGCAGGAGACATGGGTTCGGTTCCTGGGTCTGGAAGATCCGCTAAAGGAGGAAATGGCAACCCACTCCAATATTCTTGCCTGGAAAATCCCATGGATGGAGGAGTCCGGCAGGCTACAGTCCATGGGATCACAGCTGGACATGACTTCGTGACTAAACACCAACAACAAAGGACATAAATATACAAAGTTGTTCTCTTCACTCTCTGCCAGGAGGAACAAGAGTTCATGACTGGAGACAAATTTCAACTCTTATGAGGCCAGAGAGAGCACCAAAGGAATCTACATCACAGACTAGTGCTTGTATCCCATTACTTTCCCCACGTATTTCCACTTCTAGAAACTCTGGTCTACGGCCATACCACCCTGAACGCTCCCGACCTCATCTGATTTCGGAAGCTAAACAGAGTCAGGCCTGGTTAGTACACTGGAAGCACTGATGTTGAAGCTGAAACTCCAATACTTTGGCCACCTGATGCGAAGAACTGACTCATTTGAAAAGACCCTGATGCTGGGAAAAATTGAAGGCAGGAGGAGAAGGGGACGACAGAGGATGAGATGGCTGGATGATATCACTGACTTGATGGACACGAGTTTGAACAAGCTCTAGGAGCTGGTGATGGACAGGGAAGTGCTGCAGTCCATGGGGTCACAAAGAGTCAGACACAACCAAGCGACTGAACTGAACTGAGAAATCCCAGCTACTTTTCCTTTGTCTTCACGCTTCTCTAGAAACTGTTTCTTTGATGCTATATAAGCCCAATTTCTAATCAATCCTCTGAGTTATTCCATGTATCAACTCAAAGTACACACTAACAAACTTCTGCTTATTTCTCTGATTAATCTATCTTTTGTCAACCCCATTTTATAAGGCCCCAGCCAGAGAACCTAGAGTAGTAGAAAGAAAAAAAGAGTTTTCCTTCCCCTCCATATTCTTTATCCTATGTACCTTTACTAAAGATGAAGAGTCTCTTAAGGTTTTAATTATCACACATCATACAACTCACCTTTGATTTTTTTTCTCTTCTCAGTAGAGAGTCTCCAATCAGGATTAAGGTCATCGTAGCCAGGCTGAATTTGAAACACAGGCACATAAATTCTTTGTTCAACAAGGTAAGAAAATTTTGTTTTAACAGAAAACAGAAATGATGCTTTCCTTTGATCTTAGTGACACCTAGTTGAAATATATTTCCAAGATCTTGAAGAGCAATTGTTCATACACTGAAGATGTGCACATGCAAGTACTGTGACTCAATTTAATGAAGAAAATAGCATAAGAACAATGACAGCAGGAATATAATTCATACAAATCAAAGGAGAATACACTAACAATTCTGTGCGTGCATGCGGACACACATACACATGCATACTGGGAGGAGAACAGCTATGCTGCTGTGAGTAAAACACTGGCCTGGATGTAAATGCTACCCTGCTCATACCTGAGCAACCCTTGAGGTGTCAGCTCCCACAGCTCTGAGGCTGAACCACAGCTTTCGTGTTAACCCCACTTCTAACTTTCTATGACTGAATACCTACTAAATCAATATATATATATATATATAACCAGGCAATCCTCAAATTCAACACATGCGTTGTCTAATCTCATGGCAACACAATGTCATGCCCACTTTTGTGAACGTCAGGACACATCACCATCTCTCAAACATAACAAAACAACTGAGATTAAGCCACTCTCTGACAATTCCCAGGCCCACTGGTAATTCCATAACCTCCAGAATCACAAGAGTATGGGGTGGAGGGAACAACAAAATATCAGCTGAGGGTTATCTGAAATCTTAAGCCTAAAAAAAAGTGAGGCTCTACTTATGTCAATATGTGCTTTTTCATTTAACGCAAGAGAATAAGCATGTATGCTTTATTACCAAATTATCAGTGGCTAATACGTTACAGTATTAAAACGCATTTTTTTCCACAGCCTGAGAATACTTTCCGCTCTCCACTACTGTGACAAGTCACTACAAGGACAGAAGATATAATTCTTTATCAGAAAAAAAAAAGTTGCCATATAAGGCTATTTATATACTAAGGAAAGAAATGGATTGTCCTAGCTTACTTAATTTAAAAAAAAAAGATTAAGTTTCAAAGAATTAAAATAAGGTATGTACTACAGAAAATAATCAACTAAATTAAGATCGTATCTGACCACTTCTAAGGCCCCTTAGAAGCTTCCAGTGCCTCCGAATCGGCAGCTGCACCTCCACCACAACAGAGGTGCCTGCCAGCATCTGTTTATGTGATGCCATGGGAGCATCCCACTTACATTCTAGAGGACACAAGGGTGCTGTGGAGCAACACTTCAAAACTTTAAGCCCCACAAATAATAATTATGATTCAGCTTTGGGTAAATTTAAAGATACACAGATTACAGAGAAATTTAACAAGAACGCTTGTCAGAAAAGAAGTCATCTCATTGGCAGAAACATTTTCAGAACTCAGAGAATTTTTGAATTCTTTCAGAATTCCAAGATGAGCCAGAGGACCACGAATGAACAGGACTAGAGTCGACAGAGCCAGGCTCCACACTCTGGGCCTAGGCTGTTCCATGGAAATTGCTTAAACAGGTGTCTCCACTTGGGAAACCCATGCTAAAAACAAGGTGACGATCTCTTCCCCTGCCTCCAGGTCTCTGTCTGTGGTCCTTGTACTCCCACCATCTGTCAGGGAACACCTGTCACAGCAGCTAAACGCTGAATTGAGGGGATGAACTCATCAATCTTTTGAATCGCTGAGTTCTAACTAGGATGGCTAAGCTACAGAAAAATTAAGTTGGCATAGTACAAATATTCCCACACCTCCTCAAAAGTGTGGTTTCTTCTGATATTTGGCCAATGAACACTGCGTGCTTACACTGTGAAAGGAGAAAAAAAAAACCAGACATTACAGGCCCCATACTCAAGGATATAACTAAGAAATGGGTATAAATAACTATAACCCAAGGTCACATTGGGTAACTGCCCCCAAAAAGACCTACAGATAAGAGTGCTAGGGGTCCTCAAAGGATGAAGAGATGATTTTGGACACAGGCTTCAGGAAGATGAGGGGTTCCCAGGTGGTGCAAGGGTAAGGAATCCAGCTTGCCTGTGGGACAGGCAAGACACGCGTTCAGTCCCTGGGTTGGCAAGATCCCCTGGAGAAGCAAATGGCAACCCACTTCAGTATTCGTGCCTGTAAAATTCCGTGGACAAAGGAGCCTGGTGGACTACAGTCCATGGGGGGAGGGTGGGTGGCAGGAGTTCACAAAGAGTCAGACACAACTGAGCGCACACAAAGAGAAAGATAAAGCGAGTTGAAGAGGAACAAAGAAAGCCTGATGGTGACGTATACATTTCTAGCTGGATAAGACTTGGACGTGGAAAATGGACGGAGGACGACATTCCAGTTAGAGAACACAGCGTGCAGAGGACACAGGTAGGGAAATACTAGCCTTATTCAGAAAAAGAAAAAAAAGGTCAAAGTACAAGACAACAGGGCATCTTATTCTAATTCTATGCATTCTTTTGTTTGGGGGGTTTGTGGGGAGAAGAAGATTAATGAGATCATTTTTTCATTGAGCTGATACAAACATAACATAAAATTAACCACTTTTAAACAAATAACTTATTGCTATTTAGTACATTCACAGTGTTCTTTCGCCTCCATCTAGTTCCAAAACCTTTTTATCACTTCAAAATAAAACCGGTTAGTCACTGTACCTTTACTTCCCTTGTTCCTTCTCCCCAGCCATCAACAAGGTACCCTCTGATTCTGTGGATTTACCTATTCTGGATATTTTGTATAAATGGGTTCAAACAATAGGTAACCTTGTTCCCGAGACTGACCTAAGATGTCACATGGATAGGTAGTTCGTTCCTTTTATACAGTTGCATAATATTCTATCACAAGTATATACCACGATCTGTTTGTTCATCCTTCTATTAAAAGACATTTGGCTTGTTTCCAGCTTGTGGCTGCTGTGAACATGTATGCAAATGTACTGTGTCTGAGTATCTGTTTTAAATTCTTTGGGGTATATATCTAACTGCATCTTTATCTTAGGAGTACATAGCAATTCAGTCTACATGTCTGAACTAAGCATTCAACTTTACAATATGTGGGAGTTTGACAGAATTATCCATACAGTATATCTAAGAAAGAAGAGCAAACAAAATCCCAAACTGAACTCTGCCTCAGGCAGTGATGACCTGCCGGACCATTATCCTGATGGCTTGTCCCTCACCACTTTCTAAACTGACATTCCCACTGCTCCCCTCATACTACTCAAACTTGCCCACACTTACCACCCCAGAACCCCAAGGACTCGATCTGCGAGAACCATGGTCTGGCTCTGCTTTACAGCATCTGACACAAACTCTGGAGGCTGTTGCTTTGAGGACAGGATCACCAAGTTCCCAAGACCTCTATGAAAGCACAGAGTTGGCACTCACTCCCAGTACTGTGTTGATATATTCTGAGAAGCAACCTCCATATCACTCTTCCCTGTGTGACATACTACCATATGTCTGAAAACAGCCTAGGAGGATGCCCCAAGAATACAGTTATAGATTTTGTACAGAAAGGCTATTATGGCTAATGCAGTAGGTTTAAATCTGTCTTCTCAGATTTAAGGATTTTATTTGTTGACTTCTTTTTTAATGGCTTGAAGCTAAACATAACAAAGACCTTGTTCTCAATAGCATGAAAGTAACCCTTAAATGCTTATTCATTCCACAAACATTTATCAGTATTTAATATGCCAAGCCCTCTGTTAGATCTCAGGAAAGAAATGTGTGTTCAGTGTCTCTTCTCAAAGAACTGACAGTCTAGTGAAGCTGTGAAAACAGCTGTGGATAAGATCCCGATTAATCACAAGAACTATCATCTTCCCACTTATCCTTCACTGATTCATCTCCTTCACAAAATTACTCCAGCACCTACACGTGTCAATGAGAAAATAAAATCAAATGGAAATGGTAAGTCTTGTGTCTACTACATCTAAGGAAGCACAAATAAGCAAGTAATAGAACTTCTTCAGAGAAAAATTAAGGCCAAAATGAGATGTAAATATATAAACATAACATATGGGAAATGTTGGAAATGAAAATTACTGGCAATTTTACTATATATTCCAAACATGAACAAAACTTAATAGATTTCCAGCCAGATGGATTTTCATATTGACAATGAAAGCCAAAGTATTTAATCAACTGAAAACTGGATAGAAGTAAATCAGAATAGACACTTCCAAACTATCTTTAATCATTAGATTTTACAGAGAAAACACTCATTCAAACAAAGCATAGTATTATGAAAACCAATAAAGTAGTGTATTGCTTGAAGAAAGGCCCAGACAAGCTGAATTCACAATTTGGTAAAAGATTTTTAAGTCCATATCAGGCAACAGAAACATTAATTTTTTTCTCGGGCAACATTCAAGGTAAAGCAGTAAGCTTTACATGGGATACACTACATGGGATTCCCAGGTGGCGCCAGAGGTAAAGAACCTGCCTGTCAATGCAAGAGACATAAGAGACACGGGTTCAATCCCTGAGTCAGGAAGATCCCCTGAAGGAGGGCATGGTGACCCCCTCTAGTCTTCTTGCCTGGAGAATCTCCCATGGACAGAGGAGCCTGGCAGGCTATAGTCCATGGAGTCTCAAAGAGTGAGAGTCAAACACGACTGAAGCAACTTAGCATGCACATACTCTATATATATATATTTAAGATTGTTTGATGTGGACCATTTTTAAAGTCTTCATTGAACTTGTTACAATACTGTTTCTATTTTATGTTTTGGTTTTTTGGCTGTGAGGCATGTGCGATCTTAGCTCCCCAACCAGAGAATTGAATCCACACCCCCTGTATTGGAAGGTGAAGTCTTAAGTCCCTATATACCACAAACACTGTTTAGTATGTAAGGTCTTATATACTATAGTATACGTTGGCCACCTGATGCAAAGAAGTGACTCATTGGAAAAGACCCTGATGCTGGGAAAGATTGAAGGCAGGAGGAGAAGGGGACGACAGAGGATGAGATGGCTGGATGGCATCACCGACTTGTCAGACATGAGTTTGAGCAAGCTCCAGGAATTGGAGAGGGACAGGGAAGGCTGGCCTGCTGCAGTCCATGTGGTCGCAAAGAGTCGGACATGACTGAGTGCCTGATAGTACTTATAAGTATATATACTTCAGTATACTGTAAGTAAAGTCCCCATATACTACATACACAAAGTCCCCATACATTATATGCACCATTTTAAATTAATTGGCTGTCCATTTGTTTCCCAGACAAACCACAAAGAAATCCAAAGCCTGCCGTAACCTGGCCCAAGGTCACTCGACTATTGCTGGACTAATGAAAAAAGAGCAGCTGTTGGAAGTGTTTTTGAGTTGTTTAAGAGTTTTTCAATATTTTCAGCCAGGGATGAATATACAAAATGACGCCACATATTTGGTAAGTGACAATATGAAAAAGTCAAAGAGTGAAGTATTAGTCGCTCAGTTATGGCCAACTCTTTGCGACCCCATGGACAGAAGCCTGCCAGACTCTTCGGTCCATAGCAGTCCCCAAGCAAGAATACTGGAATGGGTGGCCATTCCTTCCTCCAAGGGATCTTCCCAACCCAGGGACTGAACCTGGGTCTCCTCCAGTGCAGGCAGATCCTTTACTGTCTGAGCCACCAGGGGAGCGACACTATACCTCTGGCTTATTAGTATTTCCACATTCCCAGTGATCTCTGCATAATGGAGCACACGACTCCAGGTGCCATTCATGTAAACCACATGGGTTATCTCTCCGTGTTTCCCATTACCATCTCAGCTAGGACCCAACTTCCCCACTTAAAGTCAGGATTTCTACATGTAAAGGCTGTAAGAAGAGTCTCTGGGGGGGGGGGGGGGGGCAGGCTTGACCTATGAAGTCAGAGGACCTGAGTCTAGATGGAACATTGATTCTAACATTCTAACACTTCGCAATCTAAATTAACTTTCTTCAGCACTATTCCCATCTCTTAAAATGAGCTAAAAACATGTTCTGATTAATAAGATTGTGAAGTAAACACAAGAGATAAAATTGCTGTTGAAAGGCAAGCTTTAATATACAAACACCATTTACTCCCAACAATCCCCCCCCAACACCACCAACGGAAGCAAAATACTAACACATTATTTTCTTTATTTGTTAATAATTTCCCTTGCAAGACTATGAATGTCTTAAGGGCAAGGGGCTGTGATTTATTACATTTTCTACTCTAGGACTCGGTACAGATTCAAATTCTTGAACTTTATTATTTTATGATATTATAAGTAACAACCTACTCTATACAGCTCTGTTACATTCAAGTTTTATTACATTTACTCGACTGCACTATTTGACTTTTTTTTACTTAAGTACAGCTTATGTACAGTATTACATTAAGTTACAGGTATACAACACAGTGATTCAAAATTTTTATGGGTTAGTCTCCATTTATAGTTATTATAAAATATTGGCTGTATTTCCTGTGCTGAACAATATATTCTTGCAGCTTATTTTATACATAATAGTTTGTACCCCTTAATTCCCTACCCATGTCTTACTGCTCCCCTCTTCCCTCTCTATTGGTAACCACTAGTTTGTTCTCTGTTATCTGACTAGTACACTAGATTTTAGCGACTCTCTCCATACATTCAAGTCCAAATCTAAAATGTCCAATACCCAATGCGATTAATCCCCCAGATACAGTTGAAAGACTCAAACACAGTATGATTGTTCAAACTCCTTTTGTTGAACAGTTAACACCCTCACCTCATGTCACCACATCAGAAGTACTGTAGATATCCATCATAAAGTTAAGGGTTTATCAGTGAGAGTCTTTCTTAGTTACTTATTCTAGTATACGGTACATACTAACTATTAACAGCTCTAGAGTTCAACATATCTGAGAAGGCTGAAGAAATCTGCATTAAGTTCACTGAGAAAAATGATTTGTCTCTTCTCTTTTAAAGATAAAATAAACAAAGCCTGATAAAAAGCTTAACCAACAGGGTTTTTTCCACCTTTTAAAAAATATATTTATTTTCTCACATGGTCATGGAAAGAGCATGGACATCAGAGCCAAAGAGTCATGAAACCAAACCTCAGGTCTACTGCTTACTTGCTGAGAAACCCTAAGGCAAAATAAGTGCTCAGTAAATAGAGGTTATTATTTAATATATATAATTAGAGTTCATTTTATAAAAGCTACAAGACTACTGCATGCCTGTACCTCAATCCTACTGAGTTCTGTAAACCGGATACATTTATTTCAGAACGCTCTGTAAAAAATGCTGAAGCCTTCTAGCAACCTGTTTATTGATGGAATGAAGTTTCAGAAAGCAAAACAGAAAAGGGTTAGACAAAAATAGGGAGCAGGAGAGGAGAGTTCAGGGAGCATGTATAAATGGCATAATGACCAGGCCAGAAAAGACGACAGGTAAATGGAGGCGCCTGTACAGTATTCCAACCACAACCTCAGAATGGATAAGGTTAATGCCCTCCCTGTTCTCAACTGTCGACAAGAATTTACTGTGAAGCAGGGGTCTCAGAGGGCAGACTCAGTCCTGTTTAGCTAGTCCTTCCAGGTGCGGAGCAGCAGCAGTCGAGGGAGGCGCTGGCAGCCCCCAGCCTGCGAGGGGCTGCACTCTGGAAAGAGGGTGTGCGCAGCAGCAGTGAGAATGGCACCCAAAGAGGGATCAGGTCCAGGGACATCACTAAGCCACGGACCCCTCAGCAAAGGACTCCACTACTTGAAAATGTCCTTGGTGATGGCAACTAGGGTCCATGATTTTCAGTTTTGTGAGTCCTAAATCCTCTTTCTTCCAGTTTACTCAGGCATTCAAAGGAGATAATTTATATCAAGCAAATAAAAAGAAACTGATACATAAGCCCCTCAAATGTGTAACTTATAATAAAAGGTACAACTAGCTTGAGGAGCTGTATCATCGTACCATCTTGTCTACAGGCTGTATGAGGAGCGCTGAATCAGAGCTACAGGGGTGAGGTGGAAACTCACAGGTACAACACAAAAACCGGCTTCAGCAATTTCTGACCAACTGCCTTCTAAACTTTCGCGGTATTTCTGTTCAAAAGACTCTCCCTAAGACAACACCATACGCAAATTCCTGGCCTGAACTCGCCCCTCCCACGACCCTTGTGGCCATTTCTGAAGTCCCTTCATTTCTTTTCACATTACTTTTCTGATGACCTGTTCCAAACCACTGAGACATTTAAATTTACTCACTCCTGAGTTAAGATTCTTAAACAATTTTTGTGTTTTAAGAGAATCATTATAAAAAGTCAATGAATAACATTCACGAGCTGAAGTGTAATAAATTATAATGAAATTGATTGGCAAATAAGGATTAAAATGTCTAACCAGTTAAAAAATCAAATGTGTGCCAATAAAGACTACAACAGATGCAACTGATCTTTGCAAGCAAAAAAAGTATCCAGAATTTTTTTTAAAAAAAAGAGCATACTAATGAATTTTTTTAAATAGTGCTTATTCAATATGTATGACATTCCAGGATACTCAAAAGATGAAATATGAAGTGTGCTTCAGAACTCAATCAATGTTTTTATTATAAACGACTTTAATAATCAGTGTTCACCTTTAAAGAAAAAGTTTGCCCAAATGTAAAATTTCCCACATAAAATAGAATATCAGGGTCTATTCCAATAATGAAAGGTAAATATTTCATCACTGTACATTGATAACCATGAAAAATGCATGGTACTTTCTGGATCAATTATCTGATGAGCCCACATGAACATATTAAACAAAGTTTTAGGAGCTGATCCACTTCACTTCTAGAGAGAAGATACAAGTCAACTTAGCTCTCATTTCACAAGAGACAGAAAGAATGTCCCTGTATTTGATTACTGAGGTTGAAAACTGAGGAAGATCTCTTCTAGTTAGAGCAAATTTAGATCCACTGAGAGTGGCTGAGATGTGGAGATCAAATTAAATTCAACATGATGAGGAATTAGGAAAAGGAAAAAAAATCTTCCTAAAATTGTTCCTAAGAGAAAAAAACAGCAAAAAAAAAAGTCTGTGAAAGAGTACGAAAATGTAGAGGTCCTTTCTCTTTTCCTCTAGTCTGAGAAATACAAAATGCTGTTTGCTCATTAACAGTTCTTTTAATGGTGCACTCTGACGAAATAAAATTCAAACGAATACTAAAGAAAGACCTTGATCCATTCATATCTTTCAGGGGATATATTTCTTATCCAGAATCACAAAACTATCACCGAAGCTGATAGCCGGATATTCCTCTAGGAAAGGGGCATGCAGATACAAGGGAAGGAGAATCAACACTCACAGTGCTGACAAACAAAATGATCCTCAGAGGATTAAACCATTTATAACATTAGCTGCATGCACCCGAAAGGATTTTTCTTAAACCTTCATTCTATCACAATACATGGCATTAGACAAGCAGACCTCACCTGTCCATGCTGATTTTAGATTACAATAGATGTTGATTCTATCTGTTCCTAAACAACTCAATTGTTTACCTCTCAAACCCTGTCATTTCCAGACACTAAAACACTTAACAGTTCTATCTTTCTCTGTATCTTCTCTAACTGCCTTACGAGTAAAGAGAACTCCCTTCAACCTGAAGGAAGCCCAGGATTACTGGAACTACAAGATCTGGAAAGAAGGGGAACTCCTCTGAAGAAAACGACCTTTTGAAATCTTTGATATTAGCTAATTTTGCTGAAAAATTAACACCTCCATTCTGTATTGGGGGAATGAGGAGGCAGGGGACATGCAGAGTTCAGTGGACAGAGGACACTCAGGATACAGTGTCCTGTTCTACAGATCAGTATCAGCAAGGAGTGCTACTCTGTTCCTCATTTATCCTGCTACTGTGATAATATTTTAAACAAAGGACAGCCTAGGAATGATCAGAATAAATAAAAGCTGTGAGCCACATTTTAAATAAACGTAAAATATCACAAAAATGAAATCTGTATTGTCAGTACTCACCCTCACGTGAGAATCATTCTAGGAATAATCATAATCGAGAGACACACCTGCTCGTGTTGAATCCACTCCCCTTGCTGCTTCAGAGACGGGATGGCCCAGATGCTTAGCTTTCCTGAGAAGTGAATGGCTGCAAGGAGGGTCCCATCTGGAGAGAGGCTCATCTTGAAGATCCCATCCTAGACAACAATTATATTACAGTAACGTCAGAGCAAGGGACTTGTAGCCAATAGAAATAACTTCCAGAAATTAATATCATTCTTCAGGGCTGCCTTGTCGTAAGCGATCTCGCATAACTAAGGACTCGGACAGCTTCATATTATAAAGGTGCTCCAGAAAACAAAAAACAGGACTCCTGCCCAAAGGTGTTTTTTCAATCTCCTTTACAGTGTTATGATTTACATATAACGTAAAATCCACATAAGTGAGCATTATAAAAACATTCCTTTACATCACACACAGATTACTATGTGTTCTCAGTATCTTATGCATTGATGTTGAGAAAATTATGCATTTCTTAAATTTTGTAATTTTTACAAGATTCTACGTGAACACAATTCCTGGAACATTCTACACCATGGACAAGCCACAAATTCATGCTATGAATGAGAAGCAGAGGAAGAGGTGGAGGGGAGAAGGGTTCAAAGGGAATAAAAGATCGACTAGAGGAAAATGCATGCCTTAATTTAAGAAACAAATTAGATGGGTAAGATTTTTCAGATCTGCCAGCAAATTATTTGATTTAAGGAATCTAAGTGTTGCCACAAAACAGAGACACTTTGTAATATACTGGCGTTACATGGCCAATCCTGGGCTACACAGAGGAAGACTAGCCTTCCCAGTTCTACTTGTCCACATAATCTCACTCCTTTCCCACGAGGACACCAGGTTTGCTCAATTACCACAAGAGAAACCATCCCCAGCAGAGATGTTACCTACCAAACAACTACAACAGAACTGGAAGAATTTAAGAAATACTAACTGAAGACCTATTACCCATTCAAGCATTTATTAAGAACAGGCTCTAAGGTAGTCTCCCCACAAAAAATAGCAGTCCACAGCCATATTTCTCCTGCACATTTAGAAAAGCTGGCAATACAGGGCCCAAAGGGCATAACTGGCTGGAACTAGGTAGTATTTACCCTCTTAGAAGGGTCATGAGCTTTCCAGCTAGCCAAAACCCCCATTATTTTCTATTATGGCCCCAAGATTGAGGCTGAAAGCTGCAGAACTGAAAAGTAACAATGACTATACCAAAAAAAACAATTTACAACCGACTTGATTCACCATTATTATCTACCTGGCCTCTGCAGACAGAGTTTAAGTCCTCGAGTCTAAAACAACTAGCCACACTGGCCATCAAAAACAAGGAGAGCAATTTCTGGAAGTGAGGGACATGGCTGAATGAGTGAACAGACAAGATTAGCATACTCTAATCTCCTCACTGAGGACTAAAGTCACTTTAATGGGATATAACAGATCTATTCCAGAATGCCATAATTAAATGTAAAAGATTAAAATACAAATGCTTGAGAAGGAGAAGCGACCAAAGCAGAAGCACATCAAGCAAAAATCTGCATATACCACATCTCTTCCTCTGTGATGGAGACGGAACAATAAGTAGAAGATGAAAGTGAAAGTGAAGTCGCTCAGTTGTGTCCAACTCTTTGCGACCCCATGGACTGTAGCCCACCAGGCTCCTCCGTTCATGGGATTTTCCAGGCAAGAATACTGGAGTGGGTTGCCATTTCCTTGTCTAGGAGAATTCCTCCCAACCCAGGGATGGAACCTAAGTCTCCAGCACTGGAGGCAGACGCTTTACCATGTGTGCCACCAGGAAAGCCCCAACAAGTAGATGAAGGACCTGGCATCTTCCTCTCACAACTCTCTGTCAACTAGCTCCGTGGTTCCGCACAAGACGGGCTCTGAAGCACTCATCTGGGTTAATGAAAAGAACTTTCCACCCAAGCTTCAGAGTTGACAGATGAAGAAACTGAAGACCTGAAGTGTGACAACACCTGCCCAAGATCATCTGTATGGTCTGTATGATCATCTGCCCATATACCATCTGTATATCATTCTGTATAAACAGCAGGACCCGAACCACGCAGAGTCTCCCCTGCCCCTCCACGTGCCCAGAGGGCACCACGATCACTGCCCTCACCTGGGCCACAGCCTTCCTAATAGTGACAGGCATGCTCCTCAGTAGAAACTATGATCAAGTATACTTTATTGCTTGAGCACCTGAACAATTAGTCACGTGCTAATTGTGCTCTGTATGGTAACATGCAGGATCTACCAAACAACTTCACTAAAAGTGCTTTGAGGGAGGGAGGGGGCGGGGATGGGGGGTGGTTCAGGATGCGGAACACATGTATACCCATGGCTGATTAATGTCAATGTATGGCAAAAACCACTACAATACTGTAAAGTAATTAGCCTCCAATTAAAATAAATAAATTATTTTTAAGTGCTTTGAAAGCAAGTAGGAAGTTTATAAAAACACACATACACACACACAAAAAAAAAACCTAAGCCAAAAAATGCACACTGAATAATGTGAATAATTTAACAGCAGCATTACGACCAGGGAAATAATGAACGAATATGTTAAACATCCTTTTGTGTTCATCCCTCCCTCCCTTCCATCCTGCCTGCACACTTAAGCAATAAATATATTCACTGAAATGTCCCCACTGGCTTTTTTTTCTGGATGCCCTTAGTTTCCTTTGATACCATGGCATCCACACTGCAAAAGCACCATTCCCTTCCACAAGCATTTTGTTGTAGAAATTTGCACTCACACACACTAAAGCTGAAACTGCAGCATAATAAATACTCATGGGCCTAACAACCATCTTAAACAAACATATCAACATTTCAAGCTTGTCACACGTGTCATTCCCCAATCACCACAATGCCATTGGGGACTTCTGTCCCCTGGAAGATTTTAAAGCAAATCTCAGGCATTACACATATACACATTAAATGTTCGTTTCTTTCAAGTCTCAAGTTATCTGTTTAACTTCCATAAACATGCACAGTAAGAAGACACGGTTATTAGTAGGAACTGAATTGTAGCCAGCCAAAGATAGATAAGTCACCTTTATTACTTCAGAAACACAGTGATTTCCTTCTAAACTCTGCTTTTTATTTGTAGAAAGTTTTCTGAGTATCTACAGCATGCAGGGTATTTCTGGACCAGAAAATAATTTATTATCCTGTCAGTAACTGCAACACAAGATGTAAAGGCACAGTTAGAAAACCCATGCTGAATTCAGAGTGTGCAGTACTCAGAAACCTGAGCAGAGTCTGCAGTATTCAGAAACTGGAAAGTCTGTTGGTTGGCAAAAAAGAGAATTCAAGAGTATGTGCTTTGGAAATAGGAGGAAATGGCTTTTCAACCAACTGTACACCAAAATAAACACCACAATAAAAGTTAACCTCAACATTCAAACCCCGCCTATTGTATTAAGATATCTCAGGTTACGTGAATAACAATTTTGTTCTCTTCTCCTCCATCTAACTTAAGTAGTGGTAAAGGCAATAAAATTTAGGGGTAACTAATTTTCACTTTGGTTAAAATATATCAGTGAATTTCTTTCACATTCCTCAACTATCAATGTCATTTTCATTTTAATCATCATTTCAACAGCTGGAATGTCAGTCAAGAATATGTAACTTAGCAGGGAAAAGCAGAAAGCTCCAAGATGAGTAACAAGGGTGCCCATCTTGTCACTTTTATCCAACGTGGTATAAAAAAAGTCCCAGCCAGAGCAATTAGGCAAGAGAAAGAATTAAAAGACATAGAATTCAGAAAATAAGAAGCAAAACTGGCTCAGTTTGCAGATCACATGGTATTATAAATAGAAAACCCTAAAGACTACCGAAAACCTGTTAGAATAAATAAATTCATAATTGCAGGATACAGAAATCAACGTACAGTTTCCATACAATAAGACAATTTCTATCAGTAAGAGAAATTAAGAAAACAATCACATTAACAACATCAAAAACAGTAAAATACTTAGGAATAAATTTAAACAAGGAAGCGAGAGGCATATACACTGAAAGCCCTAAGACATTAATGAAAGAAACTGAAGAAGGCACAAATTAAAGAAATTCCATGTTCATGGACTGAAAAAATTACTATTGTTAAAATGTCCATACTACCCAAAGTGATCTACAGATTCAATGCAATCTCTGTCAAAATTACAAAGGCATTATTTAAAGAAATAGAAAAAACAATCCTAAAAGTTGTATGGTACCACAAAAGACCCAAGGAGTCAAAATAATCCTGAAAAAGAAGAACAAAACTAGAGAAATCATACATCCAGGTTTAAACCACATTGCAAATAGTAATTAAACACATACGAAACTGACATAAAAACAGATACACAGGGCAATGGAACAGAACAGACAGGCCAGAACTAAACTCAGGCATATACAGTCCATTAACTTACAATAAAAGAGCCAAGAATACACAATGGGGAAAACAGTCTCATCAGTATATGATACTGGAAAAACTGGACAGCCACATACAGAAGGATAAAAGAAGATCCCTATTTTATACATAAATTAATATATGAAGAATTAATTAATCTTTATTCTTCAACATGGGAACATTATTCATCTTAAAAAAAAGGAAGGAAATCCTGTCATTTGCAAAAAAACATGAATGAGACTAGACTGCATTTTGCTAAGTGAAATAAGCCAGATTAAAAAAAGACAAACACTGTTGTATCACTTATACACAGAATCTATAAAGAAAATCATAAGTCAAAAATAATAAGTCAAAATCATGAATACAGTGAATAGAATAGTATTTGTCTACCAGGGGCTGGGGACTGGAGCAAAGGCAGAGGTTGATGAAGCTGTATAATCTTCAGTTATAAGATGAATGAAGTCTGAGGACCTAATGTATAACACTGATAACTACAGGTGATAACACTGTATTCTATCACTGAAATTTGTTGAGGGTAGGATTTAAGTGTAACAGAGGCACAAAAAGTAAATATGTGAGGTGATAACATGTATTAATTATGTCAGTGGCAGAAAATCTGCTCATAATGTATATGTGCCTGTATCAAATCAATTTAACTATCTTACAATTTCATTTGTCAATTATCTCTCAATAAAGCTGAGGAAAAGAAAAACAGTGACTATCACTTACCACCTGCTTCAGTTTACTCCATGAGGTTTTAACCTCAAAGGTGGTCTAGCAAACTAATTACTTGGTAAGTGAGAATCACTGGGTAGAAGCATCTTAAAAGGATTTACAAAGACACAGTAAACTGTCTTCTTACATTAATAATTCACTTATGGCCCTTTTAATTAACTTCACTGTCTATCCTCCTATTTACCCCTCCCCATCTTAAACTGCTCCCTAAAATTCTCTAGATGTTTTCCTCTTCACTGATTCTTTTGTGCAGCAATGTGATACTAACAAAACGCTACTGAAATAATGTAAACATTATTTTAACTTCTATTTCTCACTATGTTAAATCATTAGCATAAATGTCCATTTGATCTTGTGTTAATTAAAAACACTAATTAAGGTCTTCTACAACTTGCAGCAATATTTGGAGCAGGAACTGTGTCTTCTCTCAAACGCTGCAATAAAACTTTTCAATTGTCCATTCTAAGAGAATTTTTCCAATGTTAAATATCAGATCTTTGTATGAAGACTAAATTGTCTCACTTTCTTCATCTGTTTATCATCTATACAGAGCAATCAAAAACAAATGATCTCCAATTTTATTATACCTTTCAAATGGACAAGCTATATTCAAATCAAAGAACTGAATTCTAGCAAATGCATTCAAAATGTTCTAAATTATTACATACACTTAAAGAAAAAAAAAAAAAACCTCAGCCAATAAAAGGTGAATTTGTAAGCACTGCTCTTCCAATACTCAACATGTATTGAATATTACATATTCAGTAATACACAGTACATGCCAGGCACTGTTATATACTCTGGGGAACCTGCAGTGAACAAAACAAACATAAATCCCTGCCCTCAAGGAGTTCAGTAGATAGCTGAACCCACTGTAGTTTAGAAGTCTGACTCAAAAAAGCAATGCTTTCATGAACTAATATGGTCACAGAAAGAACAGAGGCAACACAGTAAATTAGAAAGAATAAAGTACAAGGCAGAGGCCAAGGTATTTAGTCTGTCATATAGTTCTTCATCTGCAAGATAAAGACAAACTCCATGAAATGGCCAAAGAGAAAGCTAACTGGAAAATTGTAAACATGCAAGGGAAGGAATATTTTAAAATCAACAAATAAAAAGTATATGTTATGGACAAGGACACAAAATTCCCAAGTAAGATAAAATAAGAAGATTCAAAGATAAATAATGCTTCCAGGAAACTTCTTTGGGCTATATTCCCAGACCCAAGAGGACTAGGTTCATTCTTGAAATTTTCTTTTAATTTTCCTTATTGAGATAAGAATGACATACATAGTAAAATACACAAATCTTCAGTGAACAGCTTCATGAATCCTTATTAATGCATACACCCACATAGTGTATAATTTAGAGCAAATTCAGGTGAAAAATCTGTCATGTTCAAGGTTTATTCAACTTTGTCCTTAAGTGGACTTCGGTGAAAATGTTTTCTAAGGTTAAGCCAATCTGCATTACCTGTTCTTGTCCCTGGCGACTGTAAAACTTGCCACTTAACATCCTTAATAATCCCAGTGTCTTTGGTACCTACAAAATAAACACACATCATGCAATTAAAGATCAATGGAACACTTCCTCATTGTATAAAGTCCTTTCATCGTGCAATGAAAACTCTAGCATATCTAGTATTTTAAGAAATGGTTAAGAAAATCAATAAATATCAGAAATCTTGGTGAGATTTTGTTTTTGTTTGGGAAGAAAATCAACCAAGTTACAAATCTTACAAAATAAAGTCATAATCAAATGTTTTTTAAATACATACATAAGTCTAATACAACCTATGCAAATTAGAATCTAATGAGCAGCTCTTCTCAAATGAGACTGTCCCAGGTTGCCAACAGAAACTTCATTCATGAAGAAATTGATCCTATTCTTGGAAAATACCAGAATAAAATCTAGAAACAAGTATTTGAAATAATATAACACAAGACTATTTTTGTCTCTAGATTTAAAAGCAAGAGACAAAGCTATATTTTAGAAATGGAAAATAAGTATAACTGAAGTAGTACAGAGAACTTGAAACACCAGTACACTGCTGGTGGGCACATAAAACAGCACAGCCACTGTGAAAGAGTCTGGCAATTGTTCAAAAGGTTAAGCAGAATTATCATATGACCCAGCAATTGCATCCCAAGTTTATACCCCAAAGAATTGAAAACAGGTGTTCAAATACTTGGCACAAATGTTCATAGTGACACTATTAATAATAGCCAAAATGTACAAACAACTCATATGTCCACTAACTAAAGAATGGAGGATATCTATATAACAGAGTATTATTCAGTCATAAAAAGGAATGAAGTATTGATGCATTCCACAATTTGGATGAACATCAAAAATATGTTGCTAAATCAAAGACGTCAGATATAAAATCTCATACTGTATGACTCTGTTAGTATGAAAATTTCAGCATAGGTAAATTTATGGAACCAGAAAGCAGATTAGTGATTGCCAGGAGCTGGAGAGAAGGGACTGTTTAATGAGTTTGGCATTTCCCTTTGGGGTGATGAAAATGCCTGGACCAGTGGTGGTGGTTACACAACACTGAATGTACTAAATGCCACTAAACTGTACCCTTTAAAATATTTAATGGTCAATTTTGTATTATGTGAACCTCACTTTAAAAGAAAAAGGTAAAGAGGGGAGCATGCTTGAGCTGAGGTTAAAATGTTCCTACCAGAACTTTTGAGTAACTGAAGACATTACTGGTGGTCTAGCTCCACATTTCCTCCAAAAGCAAGAAAATGCAAGAAGGGAAAAATAAATCTCCATGAAATTTATTTCAGCTAAATTTGAAGAAGAAAAAAGATAACCCAAACTTCAAAATCATTGTAGACAGAAGGAGAAATCTCTCAATGTGTCATCTGCACTGCTCTTGCCAACCCCCACATTCCACCTACCCCAACCCAAGCCCACCATCAAGCGTGGTGGTGAGGAAAACCAGACTGAAAAAACTAATGCAGGCTCCAGAAGAACAGATGAGACAAGCTAGCACAGGGGTCTAAGGTCTATCTAAAACCACCGCCTAAAGTCACGGTCCACGAAAACTTTTCAGCAATGAAAACAGATCTGATCTATACACTGAAAGCATGAATAGGTACCTGGAAATATTAACCCAGAAAAAGCAACTCCAAGAAATAGTCCAGGAAGTCTATTAGATTCCAAAGTGAAAGTTGCTCAGTCGTGTCTGACTCTTTGTGACCCCATGGACTACATAGTCCATGGAATTCTCCAGGCCAGAATACTGTGGTGGGTAGATTTTCCCTTCTCCAGGGATCTTTCCAACCCAGGGATTGAACCCAGGTCTCCTGCATTGCAGGCAGATTCTTTACCAGCTGAGCTACAAGGGAAGCCCAAGAATATTGGAGCAGGTGAAAGTGAAGTCGTGTCCGACCTTTGCGACCCCATGGACTGTAGCCCACCAGGCTCCTCTGTCCATGGGATTCTCCAGGCAAGAATACTGGAGTGGGTTGCCATTTCCTTCTCCAGGGGATCTTCCTGACCCAGGGATCGAACCCAGCAGGTAGCCTATCCTTTTTCCAGCGGATCTTCCCAACTCAGGAGTCAAACCAGGGTCTCCTGCACTGCAGGCAGATTCTTTACCAAGCAAAGATACAGAAATCCTCAAAGCCTCCCAACAAAATGGCCAAATAATACACAAAGGAAAGATAATCCAATTCACATCAATTTTTCAAATTTCGCACCCAAAGCAAAGCCAACAATAGAGCAGTATTTTTTAAGTTCAATGAAAGAACAAGTAAACCAAAGGTCTTATATCCTTTGTGTCATCTGCACTGATATATGAAGGAAGTTTTCCTTCAAATATCCAGGCTATGAAAAGCAATTCCAAAGAATCTCAGAAACTCTTCATCTATGAGCCCTTCTCCAAACATCTATCAAAGGATGATTTCATCCAACCAAGAGGTAACTGGGAAAACTCCAAAGTGGCATTTTAAAATATATAAATAAAATAAATAAAATATATAGGTATTCACCTATGACTAAAGAAAAATGAGGACAAGAGCTGAAGCTAACGTATAAATACTGTGTATTTCGACAAAAATATAGAAATAACTAGGAAAAGGAGAAGAAAGGAGACAGGAAGGGGAAAATAAAATCAAATAACTGATTTTTGTATAAGTAATTAGAACTAAAGAATACCAATCAACTAGTAAAATATTGGAGGGCACTGATACCAGTAACACAATTTCAGTGACATCATAGAGGTAAAGCCCCACAAGGTAAATTCAAGAGAGAACAGAAAAAGAGGAAACTCATCAAGTATAGAAGACTCATGAAAAGGAAAGAAAGGGGCTGGTAGCAGGATTTAGTAGGGTGTAAGTGCCCTAAACTAAAAAGGTTTTACAATGGGAAAAATAAATGCACATTGCTTGCTGATAAACCTAACTGGCAGCAAGATTCATGATTTGGAAAAATATCCTTCAATAAGAAAAAGTGTGAGATCCAGTGAACAAACAGAGCAGCTAGCCTTGGCTGGTCCAAGCACAGCTCATCAGTAATAACAAGAGAAAAAATACAAAGCTGAAATGTCGATGTAGGCTCTTTATGAAAATATTCAGATTACTTCTATTTTCTCAGAGAAACAGGATGTCAAAAAGCCTGTATTCTTTCCACAGCAAATCCCATACTGAAGAGGCAGCAGCAGCAGCTACAAAAAAATAGTGTGGTTCCTTTCTTATGCACTTTTCCAAATTTTCCACCTTAAAAATACAAGTAGACAATAATGAACACTGTAGAACATTTCACTGTTTATCATCTCATTCGAACCTGACAAGAGCCATGAGACACGAGCAGTAAGTGCTGAGCGAGGATTCCAACTCCAGCCTTCGGACTCCTGAGCCCAGGCTCCCCCCTCCCCTCCCCAGTGACTGGACTCCCCCGTATCTGCTATAGCTTCTTGCCCACATCTGGGCACACAGCTGTATCCTCCAGTCCAGTAAACAAACCCTTGATGTTCTGATACCTGCAGCAGTGAATCGATGTTGAACAAATGAATAAATAAAACTCTCACACAGGTGACACCGACATTAATCTGGAAACGTTGGTCAAGGCATATATTGAATTTTGCATAGCTTCTTTTACAACCTAGCAGCCTTGAGAGATACGAGAATATACGCATCAGCAGCACTTTTTCCATCAATAGCCACCCCAACACAATAGCAGCCTTAAACAAACAATAAGCGGTTCGATGCGAACAATATCTGCCACCTGACAAGGGGAACTAATCCTATAGCTTGAAATTACTTTCAGGGAGGGGAAGGCTACCAGAATGATTGCGAGTTTAGCTGCAGGACGCATTTAAAAGGCACTAACGTAATTAAAATACTCTTGCAGCATTTCAAGAAGTTTATCATACAGCGGAGCCCTCACTTTGCAATTCAATATTTCCCCCCACTTATTCTGTCAGTGCACAAGCAATTTTCTTTTAAGAGACTCCAATATTGAAGCTTCAGGCCAGAGAAGGAAGGACCACACATAGCAGAGCGGATTCCAATCCTTGAAGGAGGAGCAAAGTGAAAGCACAGAAAATTCCAAGAAGCCACGGTGAAAAAAAGGCTTCGCTGTACGTGACAGTTCTTCGCGCCTCCCCTGGCCCAGACTCTGTCATAAATACACTCGATGACACCCCACTGAGACAGCCCTTCACAGTTAGCCAACTTTTCTCATCTTATATCCTCCACACTTACCTATTCTTTCTGTTTTTCCCTCAACCTGTAACATTTTGACAAATTTTATAGTTAGGTGAAATGACTACACAATGAAATACCAATATACCTTTTACCTGAGTTCACCAATTAACATTTCACCATGACTGCATTTTCTGTATGCATACATACACTTTTTAAAAAATTATTTTTTGACTGAACCATGTCAAAATAAGCTGCAGGGGCACCCTTGGTGATCCAGTGGTTAGAACTCAGTGCTTTCATTGCCATGGTCTGGGTTTAATCCTTGGTTAGAAATTAAAATCCGGGAAGCCTCATGGCACAGTCAGTTAAAAAAAATAAAAAAATAAAAACTAAGCGGCAGGGACTCCCCTGGCAGTCCAGTGGTTGGGATTTCACCTTTCAAGGCAGGGGGTTCAATCCCCTGGTTGAGGGGGTTAAGATCCCACATGCCTTGCGGCCAAAAATCAAATCATACAACAGAAGCAATACTGTAACAAATTCAATACAGATTTTTTAAAAAATAAGCTGCCGACTTAACAGTCAAGAGACAAAACTGTTCAAACTTTTTTCAGGATCTGCTCTGATACATCTCACATATAAAGCAACAAGCCAAGTGTGAAATCAGAGGGAGGAACGCGACTAAATTATTACAAATATGAAATACGACATCCAACTGCTATCTCATTCTTTTTTTAAATAAATTATGGGAGAATCATCACAGCATAAATTTGATGGTGCCAATGAGATGTATGTAATTTCACAAGGGGTGTGAGGAAAGCGCTAAACAGGAACTATGAGAACCAGTGCCATCCCTGCTGCCCTATTTTTTAGTTGCTAAAATCTCCCAGTGCCTTGGGCTCCTTATAAAAAAAATGTGGCTAATAAAGACCCAAACTGAACTCCTACTGGATCCTGCAGAGAGAATAAATGGGTGCCAGAGTGAGCAGAACAATCATGAATGGAAGAAAAAGCACACGGCACAGTACTATATGAACTGATCAACAAACATAAACAGCTTTAAAGTCTGGTGCCATATTGTACCAGTAAATTGACCTGATTAAAAAAAAAAACAAAAACTTACTACTTTTTTGGGCTAAATTCACCATCACATATGTCAGCATATGCTAAAAACTAAATAAACAAACAAACAAAAATGGAGGCCTACTATGATTGCTAAAAGTTTCTCTTCAAAAGTACTACTTCACTGGCTCCTCTTCAACCTTGAAACATTTAACCATCGTTTTAGAGGATTATTTTTATATCATTATTTTGAGACAGAAATAATGGAACAAATACATTCATTTTCAGACAAAAACTGGAACAAATACATTCATAGGAATAATCATCACTTATGTCATGTTTCACTTCAATCTCTTGGTTTCTTCCCTCACTAGAAAAATACAAATGCCCACCACATATCAGGCAACATGCAAAGCACAGGGTCCATAATTATGATCATACAGTTTATACAAAAAAACAAACTCAAACCACAGAGTGGCCAATATGGTCAAAGTGCAAGTCGCTCAGTCGTGTCTGACTCTTTGCAACCCAGAGGACTATGCAGTCCATGGAATTCTCCAGGCCAGAATACTGGAGTGGGTAGGTGTTCCCTCCTCCAGGGTATCTTCCCAACCCAGGGATCAAATCCAGGTCTCCCACATTGCAGGCGGATTCTTTACCAGCTGAGCCACGGTCAATATGGTAGAAACAATTAATATTCACTAACGTCTAGTTTTTCTCTCCTTTCTGGACACAGAAAACTACTTTCCAGACCCTTTGAAGGTAGCAGGAGCTACATGACGAGTTACAGGCAGTGAACTGTGAGCAGAAGTGATGCCGGCTCTGGTGTGAGACAGTAAGTCCCTCCTTTTACTACTCTGCTTCCCCACCTAATGCCCTAAACTGAGACAGTGGGCCCTTCAGAGTACCAGCCTCCACAGATCCTTTAATCATCACTTGGAACAAGCTTTCCAGGAAGTCATGGTATCAACAACAGGCTTTGCCACAAATAAGGGATACGCTTTCACGAGGTAAGTGATAAAAATGTCAGGATTCTTCATTTGTCTGTTTATGTGGCTAATTTTTATTATCACAGCAGAGCCTAGCCTATACTAACTGCAGCAGAAAGGAGTGACTGATAGAAAACAGAAGCTCAATAATAGAGTGAATAAATGAACAGGTGGATAAATAGTCCCAATCAATATGTAACAAAATGGAAGAGCCAAAGCAGTTAAGAACTTGAATAGGGAACTCCTGCCAGATTTTGCACTCTCATTCTGCCACTTGCTAGCTGGCTGAACCCAGCCAAATTTCACCTTCCTCATCAACAGACTTGGGCTACTGACAATACCTATCTCAAAGGGTTGCTGCTGCTGCTGCTAAGTCGCTTCAGTCGTGTCCGACTCTGTGCGACCCCATAGACGGCAGCCCACCAGGCTCCACTGTCCCTGGGATTCTCCAGGCAAGAACACTGGAGTGGGTTGCCATTTCCTTCTCCAATGCATGAAAGTGAAAAGTGAAAGTAAAGTTGCTCAGTTGCGTCCGACTCTTTGCTTCCCCATGGACTGCAGCCCACCAGGCTCCTCCATCCATGGGGTTTTCCAGGCAAGAGGACTGGAGTGGGTTGCCATTGCCATCTCAAAAGGTTACTGAGAGTTAAATGAGCTACAACCTGTGAGAGTGCTCAGAACTGCTGCCAGCGCATCAAAGGACTTAATAAATGTCAAGGTCTAAATAAGCAAGTGCAAGTAACAGTACTGCTAAATCATTTTTCTTCATATCTGCAAATATTTTTACTAAAAATGAGACCAAGTTAAATAAAGCATGCTTTAGATAAATTTGATATTTGATAGAAGTCCTAAAATTTCACTTGTATTAAGTCACTTTCCTCATTTAAGGCAGATTGCTTCTTTCTCCATATATCTTACAAAGGGCTTATCTAAGACCTTTAGATAAGGTCTAAATGAACAAAATGAAATACCATAAATGAGACTTACTGCAGTGACCCTGTCGCCACCATGAGTAACGGGCTTATAATAGGGTGATCCTGAAAGAACTCTCCAGGCAGACAGTCCACAGCTAGCAGCTTTTGATATGCCCACTTCAGCAGTTTCACATCCACCAACCAGCAAAAGTCTAAAACAGAGAAAGGTAGAGAAGTGATAAATTAAAAATATGAACAGGACAACATCAAAACAAAGAGAGCGGAAACGCTGACTTCCACAAGGAAAACCGAAATAAAATTAGAAGGTAAATATTTTAGAGAAGACAACCAATAGACCAGATGGTTTCTCAACTAGAATTTCACCTTCAATGACAGACTGAAACATCTGAAACCAAGATGAGAACTTGGAAATGTAAAAAGAAGTGTTTTCAGGTTGGTCATTGAGTGTCTGAGACACTGTATCAACACCAATAAACGTAAATAAACCGATACACCCCTGACATAAATGCACGACCGTGTGTACAACAGATAGCTGACAGCAGCCTGTTGTGCGGCACAGGCAGCTCAGCTTGCGCCCTTTGGGGACCTGGACGGTGGGACGGTGGCGGGAGGGAGGCCTGCGAGGGAGAGGACACACGTGTACATAGATGTGAGTCACTTCAAAGTCAGGAGAAACCAACACAGCATGACAAAGCAACTATATCTCAATAAATAAAATTAATAAGCGTAAACAGATATGTCACCTCACAGACATGTATCTATTAACCACAGCAGTGCACTGGAGGTCATGAGGGCACAGTTACAGATGCTAGGGGGAAAAAATGACAGCCAGGAATGCTGTGGGTGGGACACAACTATACAGTAGTAACTGTACTGAAGTAAGACTGCTCAGTAGCTTAGCCCCACATTATGACTTGTTCACTTTACTGTTTGCTATACTTCATTGCAATTAGAGGCCAGTTGGAAATGGCAACCCACTCCAGTACTCTTGCCTGGAAAATCCCATGGACAGAGGAACCTCATAGGCTACAGTCCACGGGGTCACAAAGAGTCAGACACGACTGAGCGAACGACACACGTACCAACAGGGCAAAGCAATCTAACAAGCAGTACAAGTTAAAAGACCACTACACACAAACTAAACGGAACCCAACAGTCATGACTTTTAAAGTTAAGTCATGTGCATTAAATCTGGCAGGGCACTATATAAGACATCATAGTCACGCGTCAAAAAACAAGAAAAGGGTTTGCAAGTAAAACTTCCGGTGTCTTAAGGGAAACACTGTTGTCCCCAGTAAAAATTAGGTGATGGAGTAACAGAAGACAGAAGCCACATCCTTCTCCAGGTCTTCATAAATGAAAACGGTTTCATGTTCACGTTTTTAAGAGTCCTTATTATTGAATAATACACACTGGAACATTCAGACAAAACACTACACTGTCCAGGACTGACTTCATGATACTCTAGGCTCGGGGGGTGGAGGCTCGGCTGAGGCCGCAGATGGTGTGATGCTGGCCACGAGTCCACTGTTAACCTGAATAGCAGGCACGAGGGAGTCATATAGTCTTCTATGATCATGCTACAAATTTTCCATAGGGAACTTTTATTTTTAAGTCAATTTGTTAGGAAAAATTTCTCTGAACAAATAGAAACAAAACAGGTAGCTTTCAATGTTTACATTTCTGAATCTAGTCACAGCGCTTTTTCAAACAAAAAACATGCAATTCTCACAAAGACATATCTTTAAAAATTAGTAGCCTATTGTTATAACAAAAATAAAACACAATCTGAGAATTCAACAAACCTCTAAAAGGCCAGGACAAAACAGATGCTGAGAATGGAAATAATTTCTCTACTAAGTGAGCAATACTGACCATGTATATATATATATGCACATACACACACCGTAATACTTTTTTCAAGCGGTTAAACATTATTATTTAGTTTGCACTACTATGCCATGGAGGTAACAGATACCATACCTCATTTTTAGATTTTAAAATATATGTCTAAAACTTTATGTTACCTGACTACAGAAGGACAGCTAACTAAGATTTCAGTTTCATTCTTCATCTCCTGATCTGAATTCTAGAAGACATTTCCTCCCTATGAATTCTGATAAACACGGTCACACACAGATCAAATTGGCTACAATAAGATAAGCTTGATTAAAAATGAAAGAGATTCAATAACTACTTCCAAACAGCCTTTCTGCCATTCACGCCAGACTGAAGAGTAAGTGGAAAGGAGACAGAATGATGGAACTAATCATGTATTGTTCCCACCAGATGGGATGGCAGCTTTGGGACACTGATGCTGCAGCTACAAGGCCGTGCGTGTGTTCACCCGTGCAGGCAGACAAGTGTGCTTGCTTGTGTTTAAAGGGAGGGGGGAATGAGACGATTTCATCAGCATAGTCAAAAGGCAGGTAACCAGCAGCTACCTGATACAGAGATCATACAGGGATGAACAAGGTATGCTCCCTGCATTCAAAAAGCTCGCTCTCCAATTAAGAGCACATGAAAATAAGGAACAGCTGAGAGCACAGAATTAAGGTAACACCCATATATGAAGATGATAACCCAGGTGACATCTACTGAAGACTTCTCTTCAGTTATATGTGCCAAGGGGTATCAAACCCAAGTCAAGATGTTAACTTGGTCCATCACTTCACTGTTTTACAGGACTCAGTGTTGATGAGGGCTTAGCTCTTAGTGATTAAGGGGGAAAAAAAAAGAAAAAAGGTTGATACTGATGCCTAACTTAGCAAATAAACCTTCTTCATCATGATTACGGTGTTAGAACAGGTGTCCTGGGCAGCACTAACCAAAATGAAGTGAAAGTATGTAACTTAACTGAAAATAGTCAATGGAAATGAGAGAAATGCAAGTCCCAGCACCATACATGCAATAAATGTTTCCGAGTAAGTAAATTTAAAGCTCCAAGTTTCTCCTGAAGTAGCACAGAGAAAGAGATGTTACAGGGTCCTCTCCTCTCCACACCCTTCCTCATTCTTCCTAGATTTCAGCAGTAAGATATGAGAAGATGAGGCAGGGGATGGGGGTCCTGGCAACAGGGGTGAGGAGTCATAAACTGATAAAGAGGGCAGCAGACAACACTAAAGCGAGAATCTGGTAAAGGACAACATCAGAAAGAAAATTTCAAAATGTTCCTGAAAGATACAAAGTTACAAACAGAGAGAGAGATACCATGTTCTCTGGGCTTCCCTGGTAGCTCAGATGGTAAAGAAACTGCCTAAAATGAGGGAAACCTGAGTTCAATTCCTGGGTCAGGAAGATCCCCTAAAGAAGGAATGACAACCCACTCCAGTGTTTTTGCCTGGGAAATCCCATGGACAGAGGAACCTGGCAGGCTACAGTCCATGGGGTCACAAAGATTCGGACACGACTGAGCGACTAACACTTTCACTTTCACCATGTTCTTTGACAAACTCCCCATACCTTAAAAATGCCAATTCTTCTTAGTCTACAAATTGAAAGAAATTAAAAAAACAAACAAAACAGAATTTCTTATGGAACTGAATAAACATGTAATGGAACTAAACAATATATTCAACAAAATTCACATGGGAGGGTAGAGTTCTAAAAAAAGCCACCTAGGGACTTCCCTGGTCCAAAAGTTAGGACTCCACTTCCCTGAAAGGGGCATGGGCTCAATCTTGCTTGGGGAACTAAAATCCCACATGCCGAGCAGCATGGCCATAAAAAAAAATTTTTAACTAAAATAACTAACGTAAAAAGAGTCAACTTCATTCACACTGATAAACTTTCTCTTCACGGCTTATGCACTGTGTATCCTGACCCATCAAACACTTTCCCACCCTAGTGTCATTAAGATGGTCTCCTTCAAATCTGACCATATTAAAACCTAAAATTTCCCTCCATAAAGTGCAAAGACAGGTCACACACCAGGAAAAGTTATTTATAAGACATAAAACTAACAGAGGATATGTTTTAGCAGACAGAATCCATAAAGATCTCCAACAACCAGTCACAAAGAAAAATGCACAGAGAATAAGTCACAAAAAGAGAAATACAAAAGCCAAGAATGCATATTAAACCAACAAAGATTTACACCAGCCACTCTCTCTGTTTATAGAGACACAGTAACTCTTTAAAACTACTAGTAAGACTGTAGCAATCATTTTGGAGAAGGATATGACAACATCTAAAAAATGTGCCCCCCCCCAAACAATTCTCCAAATTGCGTTCTAAGATAACTCTGGAGAAATTCTCACACAGGCATATTTATCTCTTGGTAAAAGAATACCTCACACAGCACTGTTTATAATGCAGAAAAATCAGAAATATTTTAAATGTTTAAAAGGGATGAATAAGTGCAAATTCAGTCGATTGTTCAGGGAAACGTATACAGTATAAAAAGAACAAATATAAAAATATACACTAGAGATTTCCCTGGTGGTTCAGTGGTTAAAGAATCCGCCCTGCAATGCAAGGAACACAGGCTCCATTCTCGGGCAGGGAACTAAGACCTCACAAGCTGCAGAGCAACTAAACCCACCCACTGCGAGTACTGAGCCACACGCCAAACTAGAGTCCGTTCGCCGCAAAGAAAGATCCCACATGGTGTGGTGAAGACCCTGCTTGTCGTGACCAACATGGGTACAGCCAAATATTTAAAAAAAAAAAAAAAAATATATATATATATATATATATATATATATATATACAAAGGAAGGTTGCACACCAAAACCACGGCAGCAGGTTGCCTCTAGAAGGAGGAACTTGTTTGCACTACTGTCTCTCATGCATGTATTCGGGTGTATCTACATACACACACGGCCTTCCCTTGTGGCTCAGCTGGTAAAGAATTCACCTGCAATGCGGGAGACCTGGGTTTGATCCCTGGGTCGGGAAGAACCCCTGGAGAAGGGAAAGGCTACCCACTCTAATATTCTGGCCTGGAGAATTCCACGGACTATAAATGGGGTCCCAAAGAGTCAGACACAATTGAGTGACCTTCACTTTCACTTTCTATACACACACATACACACACACCTTTAGGAAAAAAAAAAATCTTAGTATTTGTTAATTCTGGATAGTAGGTTCTCAGGTGTTCTTTAAAACATCCCCTGTACTTTTCTCTGTTTCTAACTTAAAAGTCAAGATACAGTATTCCAAATTATGTACATAACTTTCTTCCAATTAA